TTTTTATATTTTTCAATATATTTATTTTGTTTGTACAAAGTAAAAAGATAATTTTTAACGATACAATAGTCTTTGTTAAGCTTAACATCGACGAAAATTCAACGCGAAGCGACACGCAACGGAGAAAAATTTCGACATCGGATACGTTAAACAATTTTTTCGTACGTAAATCAGTTATCCGAAATATCAGTTATCCGGACAACCCCAGTTTCCAATTGATTCGGAAAATCGACGTTCTACTGTATTACGAGAAAATTTATTTAGAATGTTTCTAAGAAGTAGATTTCCTTCTAATACAAATACGAACATTGATAATAATTGAAAACTCGATAATAATGAAATTTTATTCTTATAATGTTAATGAAAACTTAATTTATAATCATATCTTATTCGTATTTAACACGCAGATAATATTTGACTACTGATGTTTATTGTTGTTAGAAATTTGACATTGGTAATGATATAGATTTAAGGAATAAAGTTTTATAAATTTTAAAAAATTATACATATTACTTAGCATGTACTGTATATATATAATTAGATATAGACAGCGCTATTATTTATACAAATTAGACAACCTCCCAGCACGCCAGCCATAAGGAGGCACAAAATTTTAACATATTCTTTATTCACACTTCACACATTCTTTATTCACACTTTATTCAATTAAATAGCGATGTATGATTTATGTATCGATTGTTTTGTTTATTTTTCACAAACTCTTTTACTATTTATTCAAATCTTGTATTGTTTTTTTGCTAAATGATTTAAACTTATTAGCGACTTAAAATTTATATAAAATAAATATCTTAAAATATTTTTAAAATATCTTAAGATAAATATCGTTTTTCTAAATAAAATATAGAAGTTTTTCAAAGTAATTAAAAAAAATTTTAAACGTTTTGTTTTTTGAAATGTTACAAATTTTATATTACTTTGAATATTAATGATAATTATTTTTATTTTTCATGGAATTTCCGTATTTTATTTGTTTATTATTATTATTATTATTATTTGTGTTTAGTGATATTATTATACTTATTTATTCGTTTTCGATTTTCTAGTTTTACTCTACGTTATTACTTATTATTAGTTACATTCTTTAAACCTTTTTTGTAAGTTTTAAACATATGTAAAATATAAATAAGTAATACTTTCTTCTGTAATTTCTTATATGTTTTCAGCATAAAATAAAGACTGGTGAGCGGCATCTTACCCGTAATGCATTTAAATTATATAATAAGAAATATATAATGTACGTTTTTTATCGTATAATTTGTTTCTGTATGATAAATTCTCTGTAGCAATTTTGTTCTTAATTGCAAAGAACAAATAAAAAACAAAAGAACAATAAGCAATCAGTGCTAAAGCTCGAAAAATTTCACAAATTAAACAGAAATTGTTTTTGTAAAAAGCTTACGTAGAGAAAAATATATTTCAAAACAATTATTACGATTAAACTTATTATAAATAATTATAATAAGTAAATTTAGGCTCATGGCTGCTTATTATCGAATGACTGGAAGTACTAACTTACAATAATTACTTTTTGTTTTCTATTGTTTCTTTACTTTAAATGAACAATGCAGTGTTATTTTATGAATGAAAGTTACAAAATAAAATTATTTACAAGTATCACGTAATAAAGTCACCAAAAATAATCTGAGAAGAAATTTTAAAAATCTTTTACAAAGTGAATAACTTTTTCTGCATTATAATATTTAAATAATTTTATAAAAGTGAATTTCAGAAATTTTCTTTACGTACCTTGGAAGAACAAGCGGTTTGTTCTTGTGGATGTGCTATTTTCATGTGTGTTTTTAAGTCATTTTTATGTTTGTACGTTTTCTTACAAATATCGCATGAAAACGGTCGACTTTTCTCATGAGATATTAGATGTTTTGTTAAAGTGGATAACCATGGAAAACTTCTACCGCATTTATTACATTTATGATCTTTCGATTCTTTCCGGGGAATCTAAGTATCAAATGAATTATTAATTAGTAATTAATATTTACGATTTTTACGATAGAGATATAAAAAGTGTATTTGTTAATGTTTCACTATAAATTATCAATTTTATTTATAATAATTAAACCAATTATATAGTACATCATAATGTTATATTTTATATCAAATTTTTTAACTTAAAGTATATTATATTTCATAAAAATGGATATGGACTTAAATGCACAAATAAACATAAACATAATTCTTACAGTAATAATATCAGAAGCGATTGCATTTGGATGTAATCGTTTGACATGTGATAACAGATGAAATTTCCTTGTTGTAGCGTATCCGCAGCTGCATTTGAAAGGTCGTTCTTTTGAATGTGTTCTTTTGTGAATTGTTAAATTTCCAGACTGGGAAAAGTTTTTACCGCAGATATCGCATGGAAACGGTTTCTCACCAGTATGGCTTCTCAGGTGGACATCTAAGTGCAATTTACTTTGAAATATTTGTTTACATTCAATGCATTCATGTATCTTTTTCTCATCCTTTAAGAAATATTTTTTGTGGAAATTATTATAAATTATTAAGTTCGCTATTAATACCTTCAGAAATATTTTATTCTTTATATCAAAACCTAATAGTAAAATATATTTATTTTTTCGATAAAAATTAAAATTTCAAAATTTTTATCTTTACAATTTTGAATGACATGTGTCACCTATTAAAAATAACATGTAAAAAACAGATTGATCGTTTTGCTTACCTTTCTTGTTTGCATTTAAAAAAGTAATTTAAATTTTATATTCACTTTATTTTAATTTTGAAAAGATGAAAAAGCAAGAATGCACTGCAACAATGTAGAATTTCGGAATTGTTTTGTCACATTGACGTATTGTGCTTATTTGTTAGCTTAAAAAGACTAAAATTCCGACTGAAATTATTTCTTTTTATTAAAAAACCGGTAAGCTACTTAAACGCCAATAAAGTAATAACTCGGTTTTAGTCGAAATCAACAAAAACCGTGACAAATTTTTTCATATGAATCAATCCAAATCCAGTTAATTCGTTCTAGATATATCAAAACACATACCAAGATCACATTCTATACACAACAAATATAGCAATTAAAACTAAAAGCAATAACAAATGAATATAGATGATGGTTTTTTACAAATATGAGCTCTGAAACAGATTCCTCAGTTAACTGTTTTTGTTGATCCAAAAGAGAAGACTTTACCTTTAGGTGAAAACTTGCTACGATGATTGCCTTCCATCACTTTTAGTCTTTTATTTTATTAGTTTTCTATGTTTATTTTATGAAATATTTATCGATGAAACTGTAAAACAATATATATAGAGAGATATTGAGAATAATTACAATAATAAATTCAGTAGCAATTGCGTGTGGATGTATTCGATTAATATGTCGCATCAAATATTTGGTTCTTGTATCATATCTACAGCCTGGCTAATTACATTTGAATGGTCATTCTTCAGAAAGTACTTTCATGTGACTTATTACATTACCTTGTTGGGCGAATTATTCCCAAAAATATTACAAACAATGATTGTTTGTAATAAGATTTTCGCATACAGTATATTACAGTATTAGTTTTTATTTTCAGTCTTTTAAAAATATATTTGTTATGTAATTATTATTAATTATTAAATTTTTCATTAATTTATAAAATATTTTCTAGTGAGTTAATAATATAAAAGAAAAATGTACGTATTTTATTCGTCAAAATTACAAATAAAATAGTTCCCTAAATATAAGCAGTCTTACGAAACAGAACCTTTCAGCGGACAAATATATAAAACAACTTAACAGTGGTAGTTGATCATGGGTTCTAGTCTCTTAATCAAGCTAGTTATGTAGAGTTTCCGTACTTTGCTTTGGTTTGTAACCCTAAATAGGAACCAGTTCCTATGACAAATATTCTGTTACGCATCTCCATCGGGAGATCGCTCATGTGACATGATACCGTATAGAAATAATTCGAAATAATGTTACTAAACGAACTGAAAATTTTACTTAATACTTCAGATAAAATCTGAAATGGAAATAAACTAAAGTTTAAAATTCAATACCTAAATTTCGACAAGAGTAGAAACCAACAATGCACTACAATAATGAGAATTTGGTCAATTATTCTGTGATATTAGCGAACTGTGCATAAGAAGAGTAAAAATAGATAAAATAATTATTTCGCAATTGGAATACGTATATTGAAATAAGAAAAGTACTATTTGAATATCGGTACTATAATTACACTCATAAATTACTTTTAAAATATTTCTAGATATCTATGATGTAGGCTAAGGATTATACAAAATAATTTTGGTATGAGTATTTGATACACTGAATAAGCAAGAAATTAAAATAAAATCTTTGATTTAAAAGACCCAAAAAATAGTCTTTGAGAGAGAGAGTTTACATGAGTTTTCGCGTAGCGATTAATACCTTTTGTAGCGTCCCGTTTATAGATATCTCGTATAGTCTCGTTGGTAAAGAGTTGAGTATTCAGTAGTTCGTATTTAAAGGCTTTAGTCGTAAAATGTCAAGGGAAAAATATCCAGTCGGGTAGAATCGTGCACTAACACAATTAAAAATTTGGAAAAAGTTGAATGCTGAGTTTACTCCAGAAAGAACGGGCAACGACTCACTCTTCGGCTGGCAACAGTGATATCAGTTCGATTTCAACTGGAGAAAACTTCAGTAGATCACGGGNAATGGGGAATATCGCGCTTCTGACAATCGCTGCCAGTGTGTGGGCTAAATTTTCCAAATTTATCCCACACACGTGCTTCTCGCATTGACAACTGAATGTGGCTGGATCACGTGTCGGAAAATCTTCTGATTTATTCGTGTACGCACCAGACGGAAAAACAAAAAGTATCGTGTATCCACAAGCACTCCAATAAATAAATAGAGTTGAAACGACACTTTGAAATGTTTTCCCGATGAAAATGAATAATAATAATAAGTTTCAATAAAAATGATAAAATGTAAATTGAATTTTGTCATAACGAGTTTGCTTGAATTTCGTTTCTTCTGAGATCGCAGCAATGCGCGACGGATAAGCTAGTAATTCATATTTTTTATTCACACCAAATAACGTTTCTGCGCATTGTTGAGTTCTAGAGATATGACCATTACTCATAGTATAACTTTCAACTTGCTCAAAAATTTTGATCAAGTTTCGTCCTTGCTAAAATGCCTAGAAAAAGTTGAATGTATGAGCAAAAGTGTTTTAAATTTTCGTTTGTTTGTACAGGTTAGTTACTTAATTACTGTCTAGTACAAAAATTATTGTTGTTACTTTAAATATGTAAGAGATTACAAAGTGATTTTAATCGTTATATGAGATTTTACATTGTTTTAGTTTTGAAATATTTAATCTTGTCTTTGTTAGTGTAGTTTTACGAGCGAATAATTTAATATGAGTTAACGAACTCTATTGAAAAATGAATACAGTGCATAGCTTCGTATATTTGGAAATATTTTTCCCAAAGTGGTTGCTATGGGTACCTATAGTTTTTGGAACCGCTGACGGTGTCCGGGACAAACTAAAATTAAATTGGGAGTGCGTGAAAATTGGCAGGTGGTCCGCGAAATGTTTAGTAATAAAGATTTCATTCTTGCGTAATCTAATGATCAAATGTGAGTTCACGTTCTTCACTTTACTCAGAAGTAAACTTCTACCTACTGTTAAAATGAGTTAGAAATCTGCGACACATTCAATTCTGTAAACGTAAATTTATTCAATTAAAGCCATTATTTAATTTCAAACAATAACTTTTCTAATTTTTTTTCGTACCAAAAGTATCGTTCTGAAAATGTACAGTACTTTTATGAAATAATTTTTACAATAAATTAATTTATACGAAAATTTTCCAATACTAATTCATTTAACTGTGCTGTAACTAATATTGTTTTAGTAATGTTTAATTTTAATTAGTCGCAGATCAATGTACAAAAATGTTAATAATTTTTGACGACTGTATGAACTTATATTGTTTCAAAGTTAAATGTCCAGAGTTAATTCGATTAGTGGAATTGTTTCTCGTGTTCCTTTAAAGAAATTACGTTAGAAAATTGTTGTANACATACTGTGCCTATGTGTGAGCTTTAAAAAGACATAAACAATATTCTACATTTTAAAATTTATTTTTAAAATTTGCAAAGAATGAAAATTAATAATGGACTACAACAATGTAAAATTTTCGCAATTGTTCTGTCAGATTAACATACTGTGCCTATGTATGAGCTTTAAAAAGACATAAAAACTGGCTTAAATTATTTCTTTGTATTTTTAACATTTGCACAGAAAGAAAATACATTGAGGGCTTTGTTCTGAATCAAATTCATAAATTGTTTTTTAATATTTTTAGAAATATATTAAATAAAATTAATTTTAGTAAGTGTTGACGGAAAGCATTGANTGCCAATTTTAATTAGTCGCAGATCAATGTACAAAAATGTTAATAATTTTTGACGACTGTATGAACTTATATTGTTTCAAAGTTAAATGTCCAGAGTTAATTCGATTAGTGGAATTGTTTCTCGTGTTCCTTTAAAGAAATTACGTTAGAAAATTGTTGTACACAATGTTGACATTCAAATTTATCTTTATCGGTTTCCATCTCTGAGAATAATTCCAGTTGTGAGGATGTATCAAGCTTTGTAATTTCTAAATCGATGTTAAAATCTTTAAGAAAATCTTCAGCTTTCCTTGCTGTGAAGATACTCTCTTCTGATGCCACTTGTTCAGATTCAATTGATCCTGTTGCTTCAGAACTTTTTGATGGTGTCTGTAAAAAATCTGATTGAACGTTTTGGCCATGTTCTGTGTCTTTCTAAAAGTAAATAGTATAATGTAGGAGTTAATTCAGTAAATACAAATATATAAAATTTCATGTAAATTGAAATAATTAAAATGTAATTTACATCACATTTAAACGTCTTTAATATTTAAATTATTTATGATATTTGTAAAATTTTTTGTGAGAATAAAACTACTATGCAGAAGATAATATCATTATTTCAAAAACTAGCTTTAAAAGGAATAACTTTCGAAATAATTATTACGAGTAAATTTATTTAAAATATATGTAAAAAGTAGATTTCCTTCGAATACAAATAGAAATATTGATGTAGACAAGTGTTTTTCAACCTGTGGGTCGCGACCCCAAGGGGGTCGCAAAGCCTTATACGGGGGTCGCGGGTTAAAGAAAAAGACAAGTGTTTGTAGGTCGTACACTACAATAAAAAAANGACAAGTGTTTTTCAACCTGTGGGTCGCGACCCCAAGGGGGTCGCAAAGCCTTATACGGGGGTCGCGGGTTAAAGAAAAAGACAAGTGTTTGTAGGTCATACACTACAATAAAAAAAAACTACAATTTCAGTGAGAAGGCTGTACCTGTTTATTTTACAGTACAATTGGTTTTTCGATCGATATTTAGGTTTCAACAGGAAGAAAATTAGATATGTTTTTAAAATCACTGATACAGTTTTAATATGGCCCTGGGAATCGCCAGAATTTTTTAACTTCTAAAGAGGTCGCGTAGTCAAGAAGGTTGATAAACACTAATGTAGACAATTAACGTGATAATAATGAAATTTTATGCTTTTAATATTAATGAAAACTTAATTCGTGGTCAAATATTACCCGTATTTAACATGTAGATAATATTTGATTACTGATATTTATAAAAATAAATATCAGTTATATCAGTTGTCAAATATTATCTGCACGCAAAATTCAACATTGATCATGATATAGGTTTTATAAATAAACTTTTCTAAATTTTAAGAAGTTATAATTATTACTTAACATGTATATGTATTTAGATATAGCCAGCGCTATCATTTATGCAAATAAGGCAACCTTCCAGAACGCCAGCCATAAAGGGGCAAAAAATTTCAATATATAATTTATTTTCACTTCACTGAAATATTAAATTAAATAGTGATATATGATTTATGTATCGATTTTTTTTCCTTATTTTTCACAAAGCAAATTATTTTACTATTTATTCAAATTTTGGGTTTTTTTTACCTAAATGATTTAAACTTATTAGCGATTTAAACTTTATATAAGATAAATATCTTGAAATTCATAAAATATTAAATTTCGGTATTTTATACTGTTTTTCTAATTAAATTATAAGAGAATNTGTATAATAAGTTCTCTGTAGCAATTTTGTTCTTATTTGCTAAGAACAAATAACAAAGAAAAGAATAATAAGCAATTAAGGGCGAAAGCTCAAAAAATTTTACAAATTAAACAGAAATTGTTTTTGTAAAAAAACTTATCTAGAAAATAATATATTCCGAAACAATTGTTACGACTAAACTTATTATAAATAATTATAATAAGTAAATTTAAGCTGATGGCTGCTGATTTTCGAATGACTAAAAGTACTATTTTCGAATGACTAAGAAATTAAAATTTCCAAATTTTCATTTTTTTCAATTTTTTATGACAAATGTCTACTAATTAAAAATAACGTGTAACAAAAGAGATTAAACGTTTTACTTACCTTTTCCGATTGTATTTAAAAAAACAAGTAATTTAAATTTTAAATTCACTTTATAAATTTTGAAAAAATGAAAAACCAAGAATGCATTACAATAATGTAAAATTTTGGAATTGTTTTGTCACATTGACGTATTGTGCTGGTTTGTTAGCTTAAAAAGACAAAAATTCCGGCTGAAATTATTTTTTAATATTTTATTAATTTATTAACTTATTATTATGAACGATAAGGTACTTAAAGGCCAATAGTGCAATAACTGGATTTTAGTGGATAATTCGCCCGAAATCAATAGGCGAAATCCGAAACCGACGAAAATTGAGAGAAACTTCTTCATGTGAATCAATGTAAATCTATTTAGTTCATCCTAGATATACCAAAACACATACAAAACACATTTTATAGAGAACAAGTAAAACGGCAAAACTGTATTTGGCACAAGACTATGTCTCGGAGACGGAATCACTTTGATGCTCAAGGCAGGTCTCGTTCTCATTCTCCTATCTTTTTTGATATCGCTGCTTTTGGGCGCGATCGCCGGCCACTCCCAGAGATCGTCCACGATGCATCTTCGATGAAATTAATTCTATCTAATTTCAACATTTTTCTTTGTTGCGGATCGGCCCAGGTTGAATTTTTGTCGATGCGTAACGAAAAGTTCCCGTTTTTGAAAAAAATAATCGTGGCTATTCTATGGTCCGAAATTATTATTATTTTTTTATTTTGCACAAACAATATACAGTTTAACCAGATTATAATATCATCGGATGTAACGACAATCGTAATATAATGTGAAATTTTTATCGGACCTACGATTTTACTACACTACGTAATGTTAAAAAACCCCACTTGTAACGACATAAAACCGTTTTACCGTCATATTTCAAGCACTCAAATTTACAAAATTAGATAAAAAATGTTATTTAAAATAGAAGAAACTACGTGTTCGGTCCTGAGGTCAGAATTCACTTCTTAGAATGACTTTGGGTGGTATTCTCCCCTACCTGTCTTCGGTGGGTTGAGGTTGGCTGTTTTGCCTATTAGTAGAAGAGAGTCGCCAATTTGTATTTTATTTTGACTCGATTCTCGGTCCCTTGACTACCTGCGAGCCTGGATTGTTTTATGCGCAAATGATTGGGCAACTAATATTCTATGCCAAATATCAACTCTTGACATGTACTCCTTCGTACCTCTATGATGATAAGAACATCGGGCAGTACGATTATAATATAGGATTTAATACTAAAAACGAAAATAAATTAAAATTGATGATGGCTTTTTAAGATGTGATGACCTCAGAAACAGATTCGTCATTTGACTGTTTTTAATTTATCCATAAGAGGAGCAGACTTTACTTTCAGGTGAAAGCTTGCTACGACGATCACCTTCTATCAACAACTCTATAACACATTTGCAAGTAAACTTTGTATTATTTCACTTACCTCAATTTTATGTTTATAAAGTAAGTGTGTAAGAGATATAATGGGCTTTATAACAGTTCATATTTTTTATTTACACCAAATAACGTTTGTGCCTATTGTTAAATGCTAGAGATAAGCCTATTATTCTTACGAATATCCATTCATCCTACAAGATAAGCTCGGTTCAAAATTGCGGATTATTGTTCTAATTCCTCCCCGGTTTCTGAATATTAAATTCGCTTCATCTCTTACTCTGTGCGTGTTTGTCGAAATCAAAAACCGGAAGCAGTTAAACTCATCATAACGTTCGACTTTTTTCATATTCGCATCATTCCAAGAAAAATCTCTAGCTATCCGCATCAATTTTAATTTGGCAACTCCTAAACATTGCGCCTTTCCCCAATTGGTTAACTTAGCTGTTTCATCTAGCAATTCGAAGAAATTGTTGCCCTTGAGGCCTTCAGCAACCTCCGCAAAAGACAGTATTAGCGTAATCATGCCCTCAACTCCACCTAACGAATACCTCCTGCCATCTCTTCTCGCACACGTCCTTCTCTTCTAGCATCCATCCTATTCCAATTTCTTTAGGGTTATTTTGAAATTTATCTTGCTCTAACACCACTCTAATATGGGCTGAAAATCCTAGACTGCTAACACCAGTGTGACCAGAGGGTCGGCACCTCTTTAGTGCTTTGTCAGGACTGACACTATCGTGTCTCGTTTCACACGGACGCCGAGACGGCGTGTTGATTCAAANAAATTTTCTTTTCGCGGCGTATCCACAGTTTGTGTAGTTGCATTTGAATGGTCGTTCTTCTGAATGTAATTTTTTGTGCATCGTTAAATTTCCAGACTGGGAGAATTTTTTACCGCAAATATCGCATGAAAACGGTTTCTCACCAGTATGACTTCTCAAGTGCACATCTAAGATCGATTTGTGTAGAAATATTTTTTTACATTCAGTGCATTCATATTTCTTTTTGTCATCCTTTTAAAAAATATTCGTGTGTAAATTATTATAAATTATTAACTTTATCATTACTATTTTCAGAAATATGTAAAGGGTTGAGTATTCAGTAGTTCGTATTTTAGTTTCGCTTTAGTAGAAGGATGTCCAAGGGCGATATATCCAGTCGGGTAGAATCGTCCACTAACACAATTAAAAATTTCGAAAAACTTAGGTGCTGACTTTACTCCAGAAGGAGCTGGTAACGACTCACTCTGCGGCTGACAACATTGATATCAGTTCGATATCGCCTCGATATAAAATCACCAGATCAGTAAAATGCGTCGCTTTTGTTGTCGGAAAAGTGTAAGACTGTAAGTGGAGATTTACTCAGATAGCTTGATCAATAATTATGCTAGTATGGCATCATCGATGATTAAATTTTTGTAAAATATAAATTCACACACTGTGTCGAGTCTTTTAATAAAAAGCTAATCATAGTGCTCAATAATTGTTTAACAACAGTAAAACAAGCAGCAGAATGTTCGTTTCTTTTTTCAGTTAAGTTGTTACAACTTTAGTTCAATTATTCTTATTTTGACTCGATTCATTTTCGCGTTATCTAATGATCTAATGTGAATCCACGTTCTTCACTTTACTCAGAAATGAACTTCTATCTACTTTTAAAATAAATTAGAAATCTGCTACAAACATTCAATTCTATAAAAGTAAATTTATTTAATCAAAGCTATTAATTAATTTCCAAAAATAACGTTTTAAATTTAGTTTTGTACCAAAAGTACCGTTCTGCAAATGTACAGTACAGTACTTTTATGAAATAATTTCTACAGTAAACTAATTTATATGAAAATTTTCCAATATTATTTCATTTATTTGTGCTGTAACTAATATTGTTGTACTAATCTTTAATTTTCATCTGTGGCAGACCAATGTAAAAAAATGTTAATAATTTTTTACGACTTTTTGAACTTATATTGTTTTAAAGTTAAATGTTCAGAATTAATTAGATTTGTGAAATTGTTTCTCGTGTTCATTTAAAGAAACTTGGTCAAACAGTTGTTGTCCGCAAAGTTGACATTCGAATTTATCTTCATCAGTTTCTATCTCTGAGAATAATTCCGGTTGTGAGGACGTTTCAAACTTCATAATTTCTAAATCGATGTTAAAATCTTTAAGAAATTCTTCAGCTTCTCCTGGTGTGAAAATAATTTTTTCTGAAGCCATTTGTTCATATTCAATTGAACAAATGGCTTCAGAAAAAATTCCTTGTGAACTTGTTGATGGTGTCTGAAAAACATCTGGTTTCACTTCTTGGCCCTGTTCTGTGTCTTTCTAAAAGTAAATATCATAAATATAATTAAGGATTTCAATTCAGTAAATGCAAATATATATAATATCATGTAAATTGAAACAAATAAAATGTAATTTACATCACATTTAAACTTCTTTACTATTTAAAAATTTTCATAATTTTTGCAACATTTTTTGTGAGAATAAAATTATTACGCAAAATTTTTAATATTATTTAAAAAACTAGCGCGAAAAAGCATATATTTCGGAATAATTATTACGAGTAAATTTATTTAAAGTATATGTAAAAAGTAGATTTCCTTCGAATACAAATAGAAATATTGATGTAGACAAGTGTTTTTCAACCTGTGGGTCGCGACCCCAAGGGGGTCGCAAAGCCTTATACGGGGGTCGCGGGTTAAAGAAAAAGACAAGTGTTTGTAGGTCCTACACTACAATAAAAAAAAACTACAATTTCAGTGAGAAGGCTGTACCTGTTTATTTTACAGTACAATTGATTTTTCGATCGATATTTAGGTTTCAACAGGAAGAAAATTAGATATGTTTTTAAAATCACTGATACAGTTTTAATATGGCCCTGGGAATCGCCAGAATTTTTTAACTTCTAAAGAGGTCGCGTAGTCAAGAAGGTTGATAAACACTAATGTAGACAATTAACGTGATAATAATGAAATTTTATGCTTTTAATATTAATGAAAACTTAATTCGTGGTCAAATATTACCCGTATTTAACATGTAGATAATATTTGATTACTGATATTTATAAAAATAAATATCAGTTATATCAGTTGTCAAATATTATCTGCACGCAAAATTCCGTATTGGTCATAATATATGCTTTAGGAATAAACTTTTCTAAATTTTAAGAAGTTATATATATTTCTTAACATGTATTTAGATATAGCCAGCGCTATCATTTATGCAAATTAGGCAACCTCCCAGCACTCCAGCTGTAAAGAGGCACAAAATTTCAACATATACTTTATTCACACTTCACTAAAATATTAAATTAAATTGTGATATATTATTAATGTAGCGATTGTTTTTCCTTATTTTTCACAAATCAAACTATTTTACTTTTTATTCAAATTTTGGTTTTTTTTTTACCTAAATGATTTAANTTCCAGACTGGGAGAATTTTTTACCGCAAATATCGCATGAAAACGGTTTCTCACCAGTATGACTTCTCAAGTGCACATCTAAGATCGATTTGTGTAGAAATATTTTTTTACATTCAGTGCATTCATATTTCTTTTTGTCATCCTTTTAAAAAATATTCGTGTGTAAATTATTATAAATTATTAACTTTATCATTACTATTTTCAGAAATATTTTCTTATCATATCAAAATATAATAGTAAAATACAGTTTGTGTATTTTTCTATAAAAATTAAAATTTTCCTTTTTTATTTTTTACAATTTCGAATGACAACTGTTTCCTATTTATTAAAAATAACGTGTAACAAAACACATTAAAAGTTTTACTTACCTTTTCTGATTGCATTTAAAAAATAAGTAATTTAAATTTTAAATTCACCTTAGAAAATTTGAAAAGATATAACACAAGAATGCACTACAATAATGTAAAATTTAGGAATTGTTTTGTCACATTGACGTATTGTGCTGATTTTTTAGCTTAAAAAGACAAAAATTCTAACTGAAATTATTTTTCAATATTATATTAAATTATTTACTTATTGTTATAATCGATAAGGTACTTAAAGGCCAATAGTGCAATAACTGGATTTTAATGGATAATCCCCAAATTCAATAGGCGAAAACCGAGACAAAGTTTTTCATATGAATCAACGTAAATCTATTTAGTTCATTCTAGACATTTCAAAACACATACAAAACACTTTTTATAAAGAATAATATAGGATTTAATACTAAAAACAAAAATAAATTAATATTGATGGTGGCTTTTTAAGATGTGATGACCTCAGAAACAGATTCGTCATTTGACTGTTTTTAATTTATCCATAAGAGGAGCAAACATTACTTTCAGGTGAAAGCTTGCTACGACGATCACCTTCTATCAACAACTCTATAACACTTTGCAAGTAAACTTTGTATTATTTCACTTACCTCAATTTTATGTTTATAAAGTAAGTGTGTTAGAGATATAATGGGCTTTATAATATTTCATATTTTTTATTTATACAAAATAACGTTTCTGCCTATTGTTAAGTGCTAGAGATAGGCCTATCATTTTAACGAATATCCATTGATCCTACAACATAAGCTCAGTTCGAAATCGTGGTCTATTGCTCTAATTCCTCCCCGGTTTCTGAATATTAAATTCGCTTCATTCCTTACTCTGTGCGTGTTGCTCGGAATCAAAGATCGGAACCATTTATTCTCTCCGTAGGATAGAGAATGGACTGGTCGTATGTAGCAGGGAAAACTTGTGTTATCTCGTAGTGAGCCACCTCTATGTCTCCGCCAATTTACTTTATTAATTCGCCCATGTGCCTACCACTTAAACCGTATAGAATTTGGTTGAGCTCTTTGTCCTCGGAGTGTATTAGGAATATTCCCTCGTTCCATATCGAGGAGCATACATAGATTCTCGAAGGCCTCGGTTTCGATCCTTGTTTTACTACAAAGTACGTCTTGAGTGACTCGGGGGTCGTCGCCCAATCTTTCTCATGGTTGATATTGTTGTCGTTGTCGTATTCCCGAGGTCGCCAAAATGACGGTGGTCCACGTCTAGGGTCGCCTGGACTATGGTCCTGGACTGCTAGTTGCTTTAATTGCTCTGAATTTTTGCCAAAGTCTCCTTTAATTAATTGTGGGTTGAAGCGTTAGGTTCCTCTTTATTGTCGCTAGGATTATTTATAGTATGGTTATTGTCGTACTATTGCTCGTAATTTTGCCGTTAGTTGATTTATAGTTTCCTCACTACTCGCTGCTCGCACCGCCTAATCGCAAATATGAGATTTCCGTGACATTACCTGTTGCTTTATCTCATCTTCAAGCTCCCTCAAAAATTGCACCATCAATCGTTTGTCTCCGTTTGTTGACACCTTTTAATAACCTCTTTCTCTTGTGCATCTTTTCTAGCTTCTACTATAATCGTTTCCAATGCAAGGATTTGTAATCGTACTGCATAAGTTTGTACGTCTTTATTCCATGCTTGAATGCAAGCATGGAATTTTTGCAGACTTAAAAAAAAGGGTTCTTTTTCAAATCTCTTCATCATGAACAAATTAAACTCATCATATATTTCGAATTTTTAATCTTCGCTTTCTTCCAAGCAAAATCTCTAGCTATCCCCATCAATTTTAATTTAGCAACTCCTAAACACTGCGCTTTAGCCAAATTGGTTAACTTAGCTATTTCATCTAGCAATACGAAGAAACTGGTGCCCTTGAGGCCTTCAGCATCCCCCGCGACAGAGATTTTTAGCGTAATTATGCCCCCAACTCCACCTAACGGGTACCTCCTGCCATCTCTTCTCGCACACGTCCTTCTCTTCTAGCATCCATCCTATTCCAATTTCCTTAGGGCTATTCTGAAATTTATCTTGCTCTGACACCACTCTAATCTGGGCTGAAAATCCTAGACTGCTAACACCAGTGTGACCAGAGGGTCGGCACCTCTTTAGTGCCTTGTCAGGGCTGACACTATCGTGTCTCGTTTCACACGGACGCCGAGACGGGGTACTGATTGAAATTCGATGTAGATTACATGAGCAGCCGCGTGCATGGTATATCGGATTCGGGATGAAGACAGATGGAGAAACAGCGCACCGGAAGTACTCCACTCAGACTCTAGGTTTAATAACAAATAAGGGTTTAATAATTTTAAAAAAATGTTACAGGATACACATCAATGTTAGATTAACCGACCTATTTAACGCAGTGGTTGCGAAAGAGAGAGAGTTTACATGAGGTTTCGCGTTGCGATAAATACCTTTTGTAGCGTCCCGTTTATAGTTGTCCCGTTTAGTATCGTTTAGAATCGTCGGTAAAGGGTTGAGTAGTTCGTATTTAAAGTATCCAGTAGTTCGTATTTAAAGTTTCGCTTTAGTAGAAAAATGTCCAAGGGCGATATATCCAGTCGGGTAGGGTCGTGCACTAACACAATTAAAAAGTTGAGAAAAGGTGGGTACTGACTTTACTCCAGTAGGAACTTGCAACGACTTACTCATCCGCTGACAACATTGATATCAGTTCGATATCGCCTGGCTAAATAATCAGCAGATCGTGGAAATGCATCGCTTTTGTCCAGGATAAAGTGGAGATTTTCTCAGATAGCTTAGGACAATAATTATGCAAGTATGGCATCATCGATGACTAAATTTTTATAAAGTACGGATTCACACACTGTGTCAAGTCATAATAAAAAACTAATCGTAGTGCTCAATTATTAATTAACAATAGTGAAACAAGAAGCATAATATTCGTTTCTTATTTAAGTTAAATTGTTGGTACTTTAGTTCAGTTACTCTTATTTTGAGTCGTTTCATTTTCGCGTTATCTAATGATCAAATGTAAGTTCACGTACCTCACTTTACACAAAAATAAGCTTTTATCTACTGTTAAAATAAGTTAGAAATCTGCGACACATTCTATTCTGTAAAAGTAAATTTATTCAATTAAAGCTATTAATTAATTTTAAATAATAAAATTTTCAAATAAAATTTTGTTTTGTACCAAAAGTACCGTTCTGCAAACGTACAGTACTTTTATTAAATAATTTCTACAATAAACTGATTAACAGGTAAATTTTCCAATATTATTTCATTCAACTGTGCTGTAACTAATATTGTTTTACTAGTGTTTAATTTTCATCTGTGGCAGACCAATGTAAAAAAATGTTAATAATTTTTTACGACTTTTTGAACTTATATTGTTTTAAAGTTAAATGTTCGGAATTAATTAGATTTGTGGAATTGTTTCTCGTGTTCATTTAAAGAAATTTCGTCAAAAAATTGTTGTCCACAAAGTTGACATTCGAATTTATCTTCATCGGTTTCTATTTCTGAGAATAATTCCGGTTGCGAGGATGTTACAAACTTCATAATTTCTAAATTGATGTTAAAATCTTTAAGAAATTCTTCAGCTTCTATGGATGTGAAAATACTCTCTTCTGAAGCCTCTTGTTCATATTGAATTGAACAAATGGCTTCAGAAAAAATTCCTTGTGAACTTGTTGATGGTGTCTGAAAAACATCTGGTTTCACTTCTTGGCCCTGTTCTGTGTCTTTCTAAAAGTAAATATCATAAATATAATTAAGGATTTCAATTCAGTAAATGCAAATATATAAAATATCATGTAAATTGAAACAAATAAAATGTAATTTACATCACATTTAAACTTCTTTACTATTTAAAAATTTTCATAACTTTTGCAACATTTTTTGTGAGAATAAAATTATTACGCAAAATTTTTAATATTATTTAAAAAACTAGCGCGAAAAAGCATATATTTCGGAATAATTATTACGAGTAAATTTATTTAAAATGTTTTTAAAAAGTAGTTTTCTTTCTAATTCAAATACTAATATTGATGTTGAGAATTAACTCGATAATAATGAAATTTTGTCCTTTCAATGTTAATGAAAAGTTAATTTGTGGTCAAATATTACTCGTATTTAACACGGAGATATTTGACTACTGATATTTATTGCTGTAAGTCAAATTTCAAAATTCGGCATTGGTCATGATATAAGTTTTAGGAATAAACTTTTTTAAATTTTAAGAAATTATACATATTACTTTACACGTATATAAATTTAGATATAGACAGCCCTATCATTTATGCAAATTAGGCAATCTCTCAACACGCCAGTCATAAAGGGGCACAAAATTTCAACATATACTTTATTCGCATTTCACTAAAATTTTAAATTAAATAGTGATATATGATTTATGTGTCGATTGTTTTTTCTTATTTTTTACGAATCAAACTATTTTACTATTTATTCAATTTTTCGAATTTTTTTAATACTTAATTGATTTAAACTTAATAACTATTTAATATTTATATAAAATAAATGTCTTAAAACATTAAAAATTATAAAATATTATATTTTGGTATTTTATACTGTTTTTGTATATAAAATAAATATAAGAAAAAGTTTTTAAATTAATTTTTCAAAATTGTAAAAATTTCGTTTTTTGATGTTCTTCAAATTCTATATTACTTTGAATATTAGTAACAAGGCATGCCGAAAGAATTTTTATTTTACTTTTTTAAGTGTTTATTAATAAAAATATACAACTGGTAATTTTTCACACGGCGCAAAATCACCTTTCACTGGCACTGCCTATTTATTATTTTTATTGGTATTGAGTGATGTTATTATATTTATTTATTCGTTTTCGGTTTTCTTTTTTTACTTTACGTTATTCGTTACTATTAGTTACATTACAGTTAATTCTTTAGAGCTTTTTTGTGAATTTTAAACGTATGTATGTAAAATGTAAATAGGGGTGATCCTTGTACATTGGGAAACCTTCTACTTCGTGATAAGCTCGTCATTTGAAAAATAATATATGGAGAAGTAGTAAGTAGCGATATCTAGTAGCTATGAATAAATTATTAAAAAATAAAATGTACTTTTTTCTTCGTACAAATCGTTTTTGTATGATAAGTTTTGTTCATAATTGCAAAGAACAAATAACAAACGTAAGAACAATAAGCAATCAGGTGATAAAGCTCAAAAAATTTCACTAATTGAACAGAAATTGTTTTTGTAAAAAACTTATGTAGATAAAAATATGTTTCAAAACCATTATTACGATTAAACTTATTATGAATAATTATAATTAAATTTGACGCTAATGGCTGCTTATTATCAAATGACTCAAAGTACTAACTTACAATAATTAGTTTTGTTTTCTATTACAACTTTACTTTCAATGAACAATGCAGCGTTATTTTATGAATAAAGTTTACATAAAAGTATTTACAGTAATCACGTAACAATGATACCCAAAAGATCTAAGAAACAATTTTAAAAAATCTTTTACAAGCTGCATAAGTTTTTTCACATTATATTATTGAAGGAATTTTTGAAAGTTTTATTTCCGAAATTTTTTTTACTTACTTTGGAGAAAGATTCGGTTTGTTTTTGTGGATGTACTTTCTTCATGTGTTTATTTAAGTCAAATTTATATTTGAAAGTTTTCCTACAAATATAACATGAAAACGGTCGATTTTCCTCATGAGATGTTAGATGTGTTCTTAAAGTGGATAAAAATCGAAAACTTTTACCGCATTTATGACATTTATGAACTCTATTTTCTTTCACCGGTTTTTTTGGTTTTGGTGTAATCTAAGTGACATATAATTTATAAGTTACATTAGCTATTTATTACACATTAAAAAGATTGATATGTTAATATTTTAAAAACAAAGTAAAATTTTAATTAACTAAGTGATACTGTTTTNGGACACTGTGCGAACAATGGACTTTCCGTTCGGCAGTTATGTGAGGTGAACAACGGTCTTTCTGCGAACAAGTGCGAATGATGTTTCCACTCTTTTGCCGTTGCCAATGACAATCTGCTATTTTTATAATATGTTATTATTATATCTGAAGTACAGAGCTCCTGTTGGGATTCGGCTTGCTCCCTTGTTTATTACGTACATCACCTCAGTGCAGGGTATTTACATTTATTCAAGTGTTGTGCAAATCTTGGCTTATAAAAAAACAAAAAGGTGATTTCAATTGAAACAAAGCAAGACATCACCAGAAGGAGTGAAAGTTGACAAAAACTTTCTTGTCGAATGGGGAGAGGTTCAGGAGTTTACCAACACTCATTATCCAAACAGAGCTGAGGCCAACAGAATCAATGATCTCTACAATGACACCCTTGCCCGTCATTTCCGACAGGTGTTGAAGAAGAGAGAGAAACAGACCACCTTGGACATATTTTTCAAGAAGGAAGCTGCCAAAAAACAAAGGATGGAACAAGAGGAGATGAACCTGCAAGCTTCGGTAGCCTCTCCTGAATCTGGCTCCGATTAAAAAACAATAAAAAGAGACCTGCTGAAATGTGTAGAAAGTCTGTATCTGTATGAATGTGTAAAGAAAACGTTCCTCCACCTCCTCCTCACGACATCTGACTACCCGGCATAATTGGTGACTGGTCCATTTTCATTTTTTATGATACTGTACAGTATGGTTATTTTATGCTGTGGAACGAATTATATGTTTTAACATGTATTTCTATGGAAAATGCGTTTCGTATAAAGGACTTTTCACTTAACATTAAGCACGTTACCTCGTATAACATTAAGTGCGTTATACGAGGCACCACTGTATTTTATTTTAAAAATATTTATCCAATTAATATCAAAAAGTAAACATTATTAATTCAATAATAAGTTTAGAATCTCTTACTTTTAGATGTATTCGATTGACATGTTGTATCAAAGTACCTTTCCTTTTTGCAGTGTATGTACAGTCTTTGTAGTTGCATTTGAATGGTCTTTCTTCAGAATGTGTTCTTTTGTGAAGTAGTAAATTTCCAGACTGGGAGAATAGTTTTCCGCAAATATTGCATTCAAACGGTTTCTCACCAGTATGAGACCTCATGTGAATATCTAAATTCCATTTTCTATCAAATTTCATCTCACATTCAGTACATTCATATGCCTTTGTTTGATCCTTAAAAAGGTTTTTTTACGTTATGTAAATTATTATATATTATTAAGATTCGACTTATTTTTTCAGAAATATTTTCTCTTTATGTCTAATCATAATAGTAAAATATATGTATTTTTTCGATATGACTTAAAACATCAAATATTTCATTTTTTACAATTTTGAATAAAAACAGTCGCCAAATAACAATGCCATACAAAACAGATTAAAAGTTTCACTTACTTTTTCTGATTGCATTTATAGAATTAATTATTTAAATTTTAAATTCGTTTTATAAATTGTCAAAAAATAAAAAAAAACCAAGAATGCACTACAATAATGTGAAATTTGGCAATTGTTTTGTCAGATTGTCATATTGTGACTGTAGGTTAGCATGAAAATTATAACGAAACGGATTTAATGTTATTTCTTTTTAAATGCACAACGAAAGAAAATTTTTAAGGGTACCGTTTCTGAATGAGTTTCGTAAATTGTTAACTGAATATTTTTTAGAAATCTGAGACGTAGAAATTAAATAAAAAGAATTTTATTTAACTGTTGAATGGAAAACATTGAATGTGCTCTAAATTTAAAGGCGCTATTGTAATAACAACGTCGAGGAAAAGTTTTAAAACTGGAGCCAGTTGACTACTTACATTAATTTGACTTTTTGGTCACATCTTTTAATTAATGACGGGGAAAAAAGACTGAAAATAAAACTTTTAATTAATTTTTAAAAGTTCAAATTACATTTTCAGCACGAAATTCACCAAACGAATCTTATTTATTTATTACTTTTTTGTAAATCTAATGAACGAAATGTTTAAAATTCAAAACTTAACTTGTATTGAAGTCTGAGCTGCTTTTTAAATTGGATATCTGTTTATGATTAATAAAAACTTTTTCAAAAGTTCAGTTTATATGGATCATTAAAGTGCTTTTTCTTTTAAAGATATTTGTCAATATAACTTATATTTGGGAGGATTTCTATCTATTTAAAAAATTCTTGCATAATTTTAAAGTGTTTCTCTTTTAATATTAAATTAACTGATTTTTAATACTAATATGGTTAGTTCATATGTTTTACGAAATCGTGAATTTTATTATGTTTTATAGATGGATACGTACTTTTGACTTTCACTGACATCATTCTAATATTTTTAGGATATTTATTGTCATCAATCTCTGACCCAATACGACTATATGTTTTATACTTAGAATTATCATATAAATTCAAATTATTTTAAACAAATAATTATAATCTATACAAGACGTAAAAATTAGTTTCAATTACGGTTCTATATTTTGTTGTAGTTTTATGATTATAGCTTTGAATGTAAACGTATTCAAAGATTTGTCAAATTTATGTCATGTCAAGGAAATCGCAAGCTTTCGTCGTTGCAGTGCAAAATACAATTATACGTGTTTTAAATTCTAGGTTGTTCTAGAACCATTTGTAATACCACTGTGTTTAATAATACTGCACGAAAGAATTTTCATAAGTTACAATCTTTTATTAGTGAGTTGATAGTTAAGTTTTGAATTACTGTATTAATAAAGATTTGTGATGTGAAAACGTCATTTGTTGATTGTTTTGTTGGAAATTATTCCGTAATTCCTCTGATATGCAATTGCATCTTGAGTGTAAAGTGTAACACTAAACATCATAGAAATAGTTGGTAATTTACTGGTTAATTTAAAATTTATTACTCGGGTATTTTTATTTCTGAATAGTGTTTTCTTAATTCTAATTATGTTCCAGGATATACAATTCTTTCAGTAAATAATGCTTTAAGTACATTAGTTTTTTCGAAATAAAAATGATTTTGTTTAATGCAATTTTGTCAAATCCTTTGAATTTTGTTCTTTGAACACACCAGAAGACAGCCTTTGAATAAAATGTGCATTCTCTAGTTAAATATATTTGCGTGCTCACCTGAAAGTAAATGGCATAACTTACATGATCGATTACAAGTAACTAAAATTATATATAATATAAATTTAATAATAATTAATTTATAACATAATTTGGATTAAAAATAACGATGCTAGATTTTTATATACGAAAGATTCTACTCCATAATCTGATAAGAGTTTAGAAAATATTTTGTATTTTTTTAGATATATAAACTTATTAGCAGATGAGCCCAGAATTGCACTGGGAAAAAGTGAAGGTTATTAGATCATTTCTTACTCCTAATGTTTCTACTAAATTATATTGTAATATTTGGTATATATTTATAGAAGTTATTTTTTGTAAGAGTTTATCACACTGAGTGCCCAATCTAACTGTTTAAAAAATTTTTAAATAGTATACTGTAGAAAATAAAAAGAAAATTGAAAATGTATTATATTGGCCACTAGGCGTTGTGAGTCCTTATGTAAGATAATCTTTACAGTTATATATCAGGTCTTACCTGTTTCCACTAGGAACAAGAATTTGGTTCCCCTCTTCCGAGGCTAAATAGAGAATATTTAGATGTGTCTTAAATAATTTCCATTTCCCGAAAAAAACGTAAAAAACCGCATCTAAAACGGTACAGTAAAAGCCGAGTTCTTCACGGTAGTTCTCACCGTTATCACGTAAATGCCCTTTCACTCATAGAGATGAATCTGGACAGCAATAAATCCACAAGGTATAATTAGATCGATATTTATCAATTAAACCATAGTGAATAAACCAAGTGAATCATCCTGGAAAATGAAATTTCATCATTATTCATCAAGTCAGGGAATCCAGAATAACGTAGAATGAACTCTGTATTCAGTCAATCTGAATTCTTATAACTGCTTCCTGTGGGATTACATTAAAGACAAATTGTAAAGGAAGAGCAAGAGGGCCATCACTGACTTCAAGAAAGAAATTTTGAGTGTTTTATATGATAATATAAAAGTGTTTTATATGATAATATAAGGTTTAAATTGAACGTTACACCGTTGTAAAATTGATCGAAAATTTTAAAACAAGATTACGATTAATGATTAGTGCCAAAAACCATGAAAGTATATATACGGTACTACTACAATATTTTGAGGTAATATATATTGATAGCTTATTGTCGATTTTATGGTTTAAGAAACCATAAATACTAATAGAAACTTTAGTTCAGATCAGTTTAAGAATAAAGATTTGTATACAGGATAATGCAGTAAGAATATATTTATATATAAAATTTTACTTTTCTTTTTCTAACAATTATGCACAATTGATCAATTTCACATTATTGTAGTGCATTGTTGCTTTTTCATCTTGACAAAATTTATAAACTGAATTATAAAATTTACAATATTAATATTTGAATTCAAATCAGAAATGGTAAGTAAAATTTTAGTTTGTTTTCTAACACATTGCATATTGTTGGAGAACCGTTTCATTCTAAATTCTAATGAAAAAAAAATTGAAATTCTGATGTCACATTGAATAAATATGTATATTTTAACATTATTTTTTTATATGTAAGTAGAAAATATTTGTTAATAGTATAACTACATCAAAAATATTTTTAAAAAGGATGAAGAAAAGTTATATCAATGCACTGAATGTGGAAAAAGATTCAAGTATAAACATGTGTTAAACAATCATATAAGAATTCACACTGGAGAAAGACCGTTTGTTTGTAATATTTGCGGAAAACGATTTTCCCAGAGTGGACATTTAAGTGGTCACAAAATAGTACATTCGAAAACACGAAAATTTAAATGCAACTATGAAAACTGCACTTTTAGTACTAAGTACAAAAGCAGTTTGTCGGAACACGTGAATAAACCACATTCACAAGCAAATTCATCTCAAGTAATTATCTTTATTTTTCGATATTTAAGTCCGTAAAGATTTACTGATTAATAATATAAACCGCAGTTATATGATAGAGTGTACAAAAATTTATTAACTGATGTTTTTAATAATAAACGAAACTGTTGTAATACAGTAGACCCCCCTATAACGCTTAGATACGTTCCACGCTAATCGAATTTTACGTTGTAGGAATGATTAAATACATGAGCCAATCGCAACCCGATAGGTGGGAACTTTACGGACTAAGGCTGTTCGAAAGGTTTTCTTCTATAAAATTAACCGATTCTAGACTAATTCCACTCAACATTTCCAAAACACGTATAATTTTTTGGGAGAAATCCGTATAAACTATGCTATAAACAAAAAATTATAGGATTACTTACCGAGTGTGTACCGTTCGACTACGCCGTTGCTTAAAGCTGGTTTTCGTTGCGGAACAGCACATGAAACGGCGGCCGCGATTTCTAATAACGAATTTTTCGCAGAAAAATAACTTGACCTTTGGAGACATCATTAATATAAATAATTTTTATGGCCGTTGAATAAGAAGTGTTTCTTTCACAAGAAATGTATAAAATTAGTGCTGTATTAGACTTACGGTACCTAATTTACATACTGTACAGACGATAATAAACTCAACTTACTAGCCTAAAATCTCCGTAGCGTGTTGCCAGGCGGCAGAAAGCATATATATAATTATAATAAAGTTACAATAAATTAAGTTAATATATAATTATATATACAGTACCTAATTTATATATAATTAATATATAATTATATGTACAGTACCTAATTTATATATAATTTATATATAATACTAAACAGACGATAGCAAACTCAATTTAGCCGCTCCGTAGCGTGGCGCAGGGTCGGAGGAAAGTAGTTCGGCTGCTCATCCACTATTGGTCCAGACTCTATCAATCTTGTCGCGAAACGACGTTATAGGAGGTACTTTATACGAAAGTTGCTACAATTTTTTCGCTACGTTATAGGAATTGTCGTTATAGGAACGTACTTTATAGGGGGGGTCGACTGTACTGTATTTTCATTTTTTTTATAATTTGAAAAACCGTGTTTTTCGTAATTAGTTGTTAATACAGTAATTACCTGTTAAATTTCTTGTTATGTTAGCGTACACTATTTTATCATAGCGTATGTATATTTTAATAAGAGTTATAAAACAGAACTCGTTTTAAATTTCAAAGTTACTGCGATTAAATAAATCATAGTTATAAATTACCAAGTATATTTTCCTTCTATGACCATTTAAAATTTATAGAAATGAGAAAAATTCTTTAAAAACGTTAAGATATAATTTCTTTTTCAAAATAAATTAATTTCAATTCTTTTTTAATGTATAACAAATAATTTAGTTGTAAAACGTATGTTAAATAGATTTCGTCAAAAGAAATGAAAGTAAATAAATATCCATGTGATTCCTGCAATAAAAGTTTTTCACGTCCCTCTTTTTTGGAACGGCACAGAAGATCTCACACAAATGAACGACCATTTTCATGCAATATTTGTAACAAAAGATTCAAACAAAAAGAGCATTTAAATAATCACATCATAAAGATTCATCCACAGAAAGAAATTGAATCATGCTGCAAAGTACGTAAAAAAGTTTTTCGAAATATAATCTATCAATTCTATCAATAATTAATCAAATACTGTAATTATTCAAATATTTGCTGATTAGGTCTTATTCTGAATAAATTATTACTTTATTTTTAAACTGTAATTTTTAAAATTACAGACATACATTTCTACTTTCTTTTCTTTGTCAGTCTATCCTTTGTTAATCTCCAGAAAAAAAAATTGATACATAAAAACCGAGGCTACATATGAAAAGCTTAGGGCCAGATGCCCGATTATGTTCGTAAGAACTTTCGGACTGGATTGAAAGTGATATGAATTCGATTGAAAATATTATCATTACCTGGCACTGCGACGATGTCACATTTTGTAATTACCAGTTGTAATTAATTAACTTCATACAGCAATCTTCATAGCCTACTACCATTCATTAGTATTGTTTATGTAAATTGAACTATTAATATATAAAAAAGTACAGTATTATATAAATTAGTACATAAGCAACAGCATTTATACCCCAATATCGTTTAAAATTTCCAAAATAACATGTCAAATTTTAGTAAACTTTGATATAAATATATTTGAAATTAAACTGTTAATACGTTATGTCATTACGTAACGAGCAAAGTTCCTGTTTCCATTGAAATACGTAAAGAGCTGTTACTTATACGAATAAAATAATATGCTAATTATAGTTCAGATTCTTTCAATAAAGGCCACACCATCTTTTCATATAAACTATTACTTCACATGACGCAAAAATTTATCAACTTTAAGGAAACATTTATTTTAACGAAATAGGAATTCATTTAAGGTTAAAATATTTTGGTAGATATTTAAAATGAATTCATATTAATGTACTGTGTATAAAGATTATCATGTAAAAATATATTCCATCAAACAGAAAATTAAAGTATTTACTATGTAAAAGTACTCACTTTCATTATGTGAAGACAACCACTCTCCCCCTCCAAATATATAGGCCTATATATATATTTGTGAACTTACTTGTAGTAATTTTTGCTTATTTACTTTATATCTTTTTTAATTATGTATTCGCGTGAACCTTAACTGTATCTTGAATAACAACCGAAGTTGTAGGAGGAAATTACTATTTTACCANCAGATGCCCGATTATGTTCGTAAGAACTTTCGGACTGGATTGAAAGTGATATGAATTCGATTGAAAATATTATCATTACCTGGCACTGCGACGATGTCACATTTTGTAATTACCAGTTGTAATTAATTAACTTCATACAGCAATCTTCATAGCCTACTACCATTCATTAGTATTGTTTATGTAAATTGAACTATTAATATATAAAAAAGTACAGTATTATATAAATTAGTACATAAGCAACAGCATTTATACCCCAATATCGTTTAAAATTTCCAAAATAACATGTCAAATTTTAGTAAACTTTGATATAAATATATTTGAAATTAAACTGTTAATACGTTATGTCATTACGTAACGAGCAAAGTTCCTGTTTCCATTGAAATACGTAAAGAGCTGTTACTTATATGAAACAAATAATATGCTACTTATAGTTCAGTTTCTTTCAAAAAAGGCCACAGGATCTTTTTATATAGACTATTAGTTCACATGACGCAAAAATTTATCAACTTTAAGGAAACATTCATTCTAAGGAAATACGAATTCATTTTAGGTTAGAATATTTTGGTAGATATTTAAAATGAATTCATATTAATGTACTGTGTATAAAGATTATCGTGTTAAAATATATTCCATCAAACAAAAAATTATAGTACTTTACTATGTAAAAGTACTCACTTTCATTAATTACAACAGTAAATTAAAAAATAAATTATAAATTCCATTCTATAAATTTATCTTCAGAAAATAAATGTTTTAAATGATGTTGTTGACTTTAATTATGATTTGAATATACAATGATAGTCATTTTAGTTTAATTGACTGAATTACATTATATTATATACATTTTTAAATTCTTAGGCAAGCGTTGAATATATTCAAGATGTAAAAGATGACATTATAGAGAAAGAGCAGAAAGAATCAATGGAAAAACCATCAACGAGTGGTAAAAAATCTCAATCAGTAGAATGTGAAGAAGCTGTTGTGGAAACTCTTAGTAGCGATTCAGAAAATACTGGAATTATGAATAGAGATGAATATTTAAACATGAACGAACTGGAACATTTACCAGAATTGGAAATATTTTCAGAAGTGATAGTTGAAGGATTCGAACTAGAATGTCACATCTGTGAAAAGAAATTTGAAGACGAGGTGTCTCGTAGAGAACACGAAGCAAAATTTCATTAATTTGTTTAACTACTTCTGAATGTTATTTTGCAACACAAATGATTTGGTAACGATGTTATAAACAATATAAATCTTGCATTTTTTTTCGTTTATTATGAACTTTTCATTTCTTGATACATAAAATCTAATTGGTAATTACGTTTTGTAAATATCTTCATTTTTAAAATTGAAATTTAAAGAAAATATGAGTAAATTTGTGTTCAACTCATTCATTTTATTCAAGTCAACAATTTATTAGAAACACATTTATTGTTTGAATATAAATGTAAAATTCAAAATTTTTTTCCTTATTATATTTTCCATTCATAGTTTTATGATTTTCAAATTGTTTGTAGTTATATTTACTGTTGACCGAATTAACGTAAACAATTCTTGTGTTTTTATGTTTCTATTGTTCTTAAATTTTTAAACACTTCTATATTAGAATTCCAAACATGTTCAACAGAAAAAAAATGAAAACGTTTGGAAATGCATAAAATTATTTTTAAATAACGACAAACAAGTCTAATTGCTGATAAAAAATACAACAATGTTGGATTATTTCTCACCTTATTTCGGAAGTTATATTAAATTTAAAATTTAATTTAAAGATTTTAATTTAAATTTATTTAAAAAATTTAAAGGGGGTTGTATGAAATTTTGCAATAATAAGTTTATGTAAGAAAAACTTATTATTGCAAAATTTCATACAACCCCCTTTATAATATTTTTCACATTTAATTGTTATCCAAACAAGAAATTGAGTTGCAAAAAGTTTAGGTCAAGTTAATCATTTTGACTATTTGTATGACAGTCAAATTGTTTTTAGTTTTTTTGGGAAAGATAAGCTTAGCACTTGAAAACGGTATGCACATGACTAACATTTCGCTTTGATGTTCCAAGATTATCTTCATGAAAGGAAACCCTTAAGTTTAAAATTTGTTCTTTATACATATTTTTATTTTTTAATCCCGAATATAGGATGAAAAAAACAGAAGGAATTACAGCTTTCTACCGATTTTTTTTTTTTTTTTCAATTTTCAATTGCTTATATTTCAGTAACCTATTCATATAAAACTAAAATTTTAAGAAAACAATTATCTTTCCAACGAGATATTCAGATTTAGTGTAGGGATTTAGTGAACAGAGAAATGAGCCCGGAAAAAAGGAAAATCTGATTGTTATATAAATATCAGATAAACCGGGTTCTCAAATAGATCTACGCTATTNATATAAAACTAAAATTTTAAGAAAACAATTATCTTTCCAACGAGATATTCAGATTTAGTGTAGGGATTTAGTGAACAGAGAAATGAGCCCGGAAAAAAGGAAAATCTGATTGTTATATAAATATCAGATAAACCGGGTTCTCAAATAGATCTACGCTATTGTAAGCTTAAATGTGGAAAATGTACAGTTTTTTTGAGTGTTTTTGAAAATCGTAAAAATATGCTTGAGTTTATTTATGTGTATTTATTTATGTGTATCTTGCTAGTCACATAACTATGAAATATGGAGTAAGAAAAATGTTTATTAAATTTAATTCTTTTGGTTACAATTTTTGTAATAACTCAGGATGTATTTCTTCATAATTCTAAGTTTAGACTATTTACAAAAAGTCAAAATAAGTTTTGAGTCTATCTTTATCCTTTTTTACACTACCACAGAAGTAACAGTCTTAAAAAAATTTGCTTTGAAGAACTCTTCTTAAAACACAGGTAAGAATTGGTAAAAAAAAACTTCACAAGGTTAAAAAAGATCAAGTGTCAGCCTTTCGTTGTAGGTTTCTGACACTTTTACAATTAAAAACTCAAAGAAATTCTTCACCATTTCCATTTTTATCCACTTTTTAAAACTGCTTCTGGCCCTCTGGTGGTAGTTACGAGTATCTACATTATTTGCATATAATTACAATTTTTGTAATAACTCAGGATGTATTTCTTCATAATTCAAAGATGGACTCAAAAGTTATTTTGACTTTTTGTAAATAGTCTAAACTTCGATTGAGTTTTTAATTGTAAAAGTATCAGAAACCTACAAGGAAAGGCTAACACTTGATCTTTTTTAACCTTGTGAAGTTTTTTTTTTTTTTTACCAATTCTTACCTGTGTTTTAAGAAGAGTTCTTCAAAGGAATTTTTTTTAAGACTGTTACTTCTGTGGTAGTGTAAAAAAGGATAAAGATAGACTCAAAAGTTATTTTGACTTTTTGTAAATAGTCTAAACTTCGAATTATTAATTCTTTTGATTCATGAGGGAATAACAGTTTAGTTCCTCCCAAGGCGATACTTGAGTACAAAGTCATCCTCAACTATCAGCAAAACCACCACACTTTCTCTTCATGTCAGAAGCATGGCATGATGTCCAAATGGTGCTGTTGTATAATTTGTATAAAACGTGAATGGTCAGCTTCCAACATCGCTCTCGTTCAACGTTTGCAGATAACAGATATTTTTCCACCGCTCTCGTATTGTCGCTTTCCCTGAGTGCCTGAGAATTTAGACATTTATTCTTTAATTCGCCATCTTCTATTTGTTTCCACGAATTCTGAGCACTTACTTTCAGGCATATGTGAACGTCAGGTAACATGTTATCATAATTTTATGTAAATTAGCGGTCAGATTAGTTATCTCAACTGGTATCTGGATCATGATACAGAAAGATTTCACGGATCTCCTTCATTTCATCTCATTTACCATTCCGTACGTATAGAACGAGTTAACCGGAATCAGCATTCTCACATAAGCATTTCAAAGTTCTTAATCGACAAAAAACGTTAATACATTCATCTTAATTTATGTACCACATTCGAACGCTTTGTCTGTAACTACGAGAATCTGATGAAAAACATTTTGTCCGATGTTCGAATTTCGAGGGAAATTAGAAGAGTTTAGAAAAAAAAACGATAATAAATCGAACAATTTTATTAACATTTTACATTAACGACATGCATTTCGAAAGTTTGTAGCAATCCATTTCAGTCATTCAACTGTTCACATAGTTGCAATAATTCTTTTCATTGAGAGTGACAGCTCTGGCTTGAGGTCAAATGAAAAAGTCATTAAGTTGTAATTATTAAAATCAAATTACAATACTCAATAAAAACATATTTCTAAATTAACTTTTTTGTAGGAAATAATGTTTATCGTGATTAATTTCAATTGTACTTTAAGTTTCTGTTTGTGTTGCTTTATCCTCCTACAAAATTTTGGAAACATCGGTTTTTGAAAAAATTCTTCCCCTCAAATTTTTCAAACAGTTTAACTTCTGGAAAGTTGATGGTTTGAAAAAAAAATTAAAGAAAAAGGAGAGTGACAATTCTCACTATTTCTCATCTGTAGATTTTAGCTGTACTAAGCAACAATTCTATTATTAGAGATTATTAATCTTTTCTTATCCCCTTTGGTAACAAATATGTGGCATCAACTGAAACACTATCATTATTACTATTCTTTCTTAATTTGCAACATCGTTTGACTAGGGAATATTCTATTCTACATCTTTTAAGTTCTTTACGAACATCTTGTATACAGAGTAATGTACGATTTAGATCATTTCTGTTTACGTTAGTATTAATGTCAGGCACTTGATCTTATACAATTTAATTCAGAAAATATGAAGGAGTTACTGGAGTTAAATCAGTATCGTTATATCTAGCCAAACTGCGAAATGGCAGGCCAATTTGGGAACTGGACGAACTTCGGTATAATACAGTATTCAAGACTGTATTAACAGTCTTGAATACGTTATTCTGCAAAATTTCGATATAGATTTAATGTTTGTTAGGCAGAAAGAAAGATTAGCTATACAAGTACCATAGAAGCCGTGCATTCCCATATAATTGCTATTAATTGATTTTGCAATTCACGTTACCTGATGAAGCTATTTCAGGAAACAAACAAAAGATGTGGCTTGTTTTATTTGAAAACAAAATTAAATTATATTTAAAACATAAGTTTAGTCAAGACTAAACTTCTACTTTTATTTTCTTATTAGGCTATGTTAAATCCATTTTACAAAGTAATATGCCCATCACGCTATTTCAAATCCGGATGATATTTGTAATTATTCCGATTGATTCGTATAATGCGTATATGTTTTATACGCATTACAGGATTTCTCCTCTAGGAAGAAGTATTAAAACGTTTACGATGAAATTATATTTTTTCAAACTGTTTCTAAAGAGTCTGTTCTAAAAATCAATTCCTGTATCCTGTTGTCAGTAGAAATACAAACATTGCGACAACCATCAGTTGTACCAAAAGAAGCAAATTTTTCACAGTTTAGTATATAGTGATTCAAAGTTGCATTTCCTAGCGAATAGTAAAGACATCTATCTATCTGAAGAAATAAAATTAACTTTAGATTTTTTGCATTTAAACGAAATTTATTTGTACGTATCAGAGCATTTTTTTTCTGTATAAGGCTACTGTAGATAATAGGGAAGAAAATCTCAACAGCTATCCAATAATTCTGTATACCAGAATTAAAACTGGCATACAGAATTATTGTAGCAGTAGTTCTCCGATAATGGATCGTTTAAACATCTGTCTTGATGTTATAAATAATTTCAAGTGTTAACATTGCTATTCTGTAAATTTTGCAAATGTTTTTTCGGGTCACGTGTATGATAGCCGACCTGGTGGGGATTTAGAACTCAAAGTTCCACTTTTCTGACACCAGAGTGTGTTGTTTGCTGACAAGATTTCCGACAAACAGACAGGGGTTCAGTTAATCTCTCGCGTCAGGATGAGTCCAGGGGGAAGAAACCACGTATGTGGGCTGTGGCGAAGGAGGCAAGTGAAGACAAGTGTTTTACAACTTAAAACCCTTTATTTTAGAAACATTCATAGCTTACATCAGATTTATAGTTCTACTTCCTCGGTCCTTCGTCTGTAGAGGCCCCGGGGCATGCAAGTCTAAGTCCTTGGGCGTTGTCGACGGGATGAGATTCGCTGCGGCGTTCCGGGCGGCACAAATTCCTCACACTAGCACACAGAACTATATCCAGAGAGCGGTTAGATGAGATTGTGAGAGAGCGTTCTTCTTACTTTGAAGTCCCAGGATTTTTAAGTTTACTTTTGTCTTCCGTAAATTTGATCAGTTTCTCGCCCTTTTTCTCTCTATCCGATTGCTGTCTTCCTTGTCTCCACGTGCAAGATGAAACCTCTTCGGGTCACGGGAATGGTCCGATTCGAGGTGTCCATCTGGTACCTCTTTGTCGACTCTGCCCGGTGATTGTTTATAAAACAATAACACATTCACTTATAATTCAGGCCGTTCTTTATACCCTTGTTTGATGTCAAAGAATTTTAACGATCATTTCATCTATCAAAAATTTTCCATTTTGTTCAAGAAGGTTTAGGTTTATCTCGGCCAACATTTCATAGACTCGCGAGTAAATGATCTACCTGTTTATAAGCGCTCGTGTCAGAGTGTGTATTACGCTAAGACCTTGACAGATAGTTTGACACATACTGGAACAGTTCCGAGTCTTGTTGTTCACATCTGGTGTGGTGCGAGAATTTCGCGGTTTACTCGAAAACGAGAATAATCTCTTGTCTGGAACCCACATACGCGATTATTCTCGTTTCCATAATGGTACCACCTTATACGCTACAGTTTATGGTACCATCACAGTCATTTTCAGCCGAATTCGTTACTGGCATGATAATTACAATTAATTAATTATGGTAGGTTAAATCTTCAATTCGCTATTAATATGCCTCGAAACCAAACCTATCATTATGATCACAAATGATTCAAGGTGATTGTTTTGTTATTTCAACTTTATTACAGTCAAAGTTATTTGTGGTAACCCCCAAGTAGGGAAGAGGCCTCAGCGTGGCGAGGGGGAACTAGCGACAGAAAGCAGCGGGTTAGAGGAACCAAAACATCCATCCAAGCTCCTAGGCTTCCATCAGCTAAATCGGGTGAGGTTGGTGCTCTGTAATGCGCATGCGCGAATCTGGCTTTTTGGATTCTGTCAATACAGTGATTCCACTCCGCCACTAATGTTCGAATATACAATAGCAATCTTATTTTTTTTTCACGTGTAGTATAGAAATTTGTAATAAGATACATAATGCGGTTATAATAAAATATTGTGCGATTATTTTCATAAAATTAAAATTAATATGTATTTATTTTTTAGAAAACACAAGGGAAGCGGCGCATCCACTGCTTCCAATAACGGCACGCCACTGATCTCTATTTACTCTATGATAAAATGACCTCGTTTAACTCTGTTTTGTTTAGCGCTTTGACGGCTAGGAACGTATCCCCCCGCGTTATGCGAGGTCTTACTGTAATTTCTTTATTATACTTTCCGTCCATATCTGTAATATTCTTCATATTTTTTCTTTTCTCAACAATGAATCACATAATCTTTCATTTGTGACATATTACTGCTCAAACTGCTCGCCCAAGCAAACTACATCGATAAACGTAGTCTTTCGTTTCTCGATGTCACCTATCTAGAATAATATAATGATTAGAAGTACGAAATAGTCTAATAATCTTAACCTTTGTTGTTATTTTTTGCCCGGTCACCGCCTGACTCATCAGCTATTATCTTGTAATATACTCGAAATGGGTTAATGATAATAATAATAATAATAATAATAATAATAATAATAATAAGCGCATAGCCTTAACGGTTAGGAGTTAAATGTTGAAATTTGGTTAAAAGTCAGGGTACATCATTAAATGCACATTAAGAAAGAGTTCGTGGAAATTCTCTCTGGCGAAGAAAGGGAAAAAGTTAAAAATAAATAAATAACAAAATAAAACTAAACTATGTAGTTATTGATAAATAAAAATTTTTACTTAACTTTCTTCACAAAGTTAAGTAAAAATTTAACAAAGTTTACATTCGAATTACAGGCTAAATTCACAAAACTCCAATCTATATATTGATATATAATCGAGACTGGTTGATAATAATAATAATAAGCGCAGAGCCCAACGGTTAGGAGTTAAAAGTTGAAATTTGGTACATAGGATACGTTACGAGAACGCACACTAAAAAGATATTTTTCGAAATTCCCCCCGCCGGGGAGAGGGACAGGATTAAGGCCTAACACTTCCAACAATGGAAGTGTCAATAATGGAAGTATTAAGAGAAAGCAACGTGCAAGATTTACAGGCGCAGATGCGGTTTTTTCGATTTTGCAAAAAATCGAACATTTATTAACCCATCTAAAAATTTTCTGATTAACCTGGAAACATGGGGACCTAATTGTTGCATTCTTTGAAAACGGGTAAAATTAACTATAACATTATAATCTTAATCTTCGCTATCGTTACTTTTTGCCCAAGCAACGCCAGACCTATCTGCTAGTTAAATATAAAACAATTATTTTTTACAACATGATTAATTTTTAGACTTATCTGTTTAAAGGAATTTCAATTTATACGCTAATTCTGAGTTTTAAACATATACTTGTATTGGGCCAGAAATTGACGACAATAAAAATACATAAAAATATTACAATGATGGCATTAAAATTCAATAGTACGTTCCCATATGTGAAATGTAATAAAGTTAACGATTTCGTAAAGCATATGGACTGACCATATTAGTATTTAATTAAAGATAGAAAACATCCCAAGTATATGTTATATTGAAAAAATTCTTTAAAAGCAAAAGCTCTTAAATTATCCATAAAAACTGCACTTTTGAATAAAAATTTTATTGATGATGAATTAATATCAATATTTTTCAAAGCAAATAAAACTTCAATAGGAATAGTTTTGAATTTTGAAAAATTTCTTCATTGCATTTTCAAAAAAATAATAAATAAAAAATTAATAAAGTTTATTTAAAAAATATGGTGCTGAAGATTTTCAAAATGTAATTTTAATTTTGATAAATTAATTGGAAGATTTTATTTTTATCCTTTTCTATTTTCGCCATTAAAAAAATTAGATATTAGCCGCCCTTTCGAGTTTTTTCTGCCGATTTCTGCAAGAAATTATATTTTGTTAGGTAAATATACAATAGAAAATAACATCTAAATACTTCTAATAAGTGATTATCTGGATACAATGATATTTCATGTTTTAAATTAACAATGATTTCAAATATCAGGGGGTAAGGCATTTCAGTATAGGCCATTTTTAAACGATTAAGATTAGGCTTATTTTGACACAACATGCCTAGTAAATAATTTACCACGGACATTACTTCCTGATAAAGATAGTAAAATATACTGATGTTTATAAAATCATTGAAAGCAGAGAAAAACTTAAAACACTTTACAAACAGCCTGTTTATCTGGTAAAATTCTACAAATAACTATTTTGTTTTTACTTGTGTTCAACTAGCTGCTCAGATAATAAATTTTTATTCGAAAAGGTGAAATTATATAACTATAATTTAATACATATATTTATATTATTTCAGTAGCCCATCGTTATATATCGTTATATATTCTCGAGATATAAAGAGAACACGATATATCTGCCGCCGAACGAATCGCGACATCAGATAATAAAAATATCAATATATATCTGAATACTAAAACTTCTGAGCTTTCATTAAACAGATTATACACGCTATAAAATCCTTGTTTTCTATTCTTTCATTAGCAGGTGTTTTTTATATAAACTAAGCTTAGATTTTTAATACCGAGTTTTTTGTCGTTTTATCTTATTAAATGACATTAACTTAAACATTGATACAATGAATGCCCAGTTACAATTATTTTTCTTTAACAATGACATTTAAAGACAAATAATGTCGATATACATACAAAATATCAGTTGAGATTTAATTATGTACTATTAAATTTCAAAAGGAATAGCTTATTGAAAAAAAAATTGCGTAATTTATATTTTTCAATAAAAATTATAAATACAAGGTTGAAAATTTAAAAAATAAATATTGAACGTATAATACAACATAAAAATTTTTAAAATTAAAGATAAAAGTTCTGTACACAGTAAAATAAAGTAACTGCTGAAATAAAACTTGCTATTTTATTTCGAAATAAAGAAATTTTTTCCTTACACATAAGACAATGAATTCGAAATATCGAATTTAAAGAAACTCATAAATGAGGAGATGGCATCAAAACCAATAACTAACATCTTTCTATATCAAAAAGTAACATCAATAATAATTTATATGTCCACCTGTTTTGCTTATTTAGATGTTGACAAATTTATTCTTTCACTTGCAGTGGTATATTCAAGAACAAATACTTGAATAATATATCGTATTTCGTTGAAAAAAGAAATTCAATGGCAATTGTAATTTAAAATTTATTGACTGTAAGATAATAATATTTGGAAGAGGAAAAAATGAGGTATTCGCGCATACTTATGTAATTTACACTTGAATATTTACATAATTTTTAATTTGTTTTAAGTAAGTTCAGTAACAAATTTTACTGTGTGATATATCAGGAAATGCTGACAGGAAACTACACCATATTTAATATTAATTATCACACTGATAAAACCACAAATTAATGTCACGTTATCATTATAATATTTATTTTAATAGCTTACTTTAATATACCTAACGGATTACTAATTTAAGAAGAGAAATTTGAGACTTCATTCGAGATAGTCTCGTGTGGATTTGCCGATGTAGACCTGTCGATGAAATGTCGCAGTGACTAGTTAATTCCCCACTATTATGATATAGATTTATGTTTCCAGTATCGATATGTATTACTAATTATAAAATAAAGGTTTTGTAAGCTATCTATAGACTGTGTGAAAATAAAAATTATAATAATATTCTAGAAATCACGTTACATACAATTTCTCTTCTATTGATATAAAGTATAAATAACGCTATGATATGTTTAATACATTAAACACAAATATTGTGTTGTAGTATTCAATTTATAACGTAGTGTTGTAAATAAATGCGTTTACCTTCAAATTATTTTCATCATCATGGCGTTGTTTATGCACAAACCATTTCTCCTTTGACCAAGTGCTGAAGTTGCACAAATCACATCGAAATGCCATTTCAGTTTCTTGTTTATGTTGAGCATTCTGTGACTTGTCATCTGTTTCACTTGATACCGCAGCTGATCTTTCATCACATGACTGTAAAGATAAAATATGAACATACTGTTCAGAGAATTGTAAAGACTTAATATGATAAAAAGAAGTTAAGATGAGAAGTAATTAATCCATAGCTTAACTTATTTATTTTTCACACTGAATTTACTTAATTAATATGTCTACATATTCACTTTAATATAAACATTTTAAAGTAAATTAGAAAATGTGAGAACCGAGGGTTTAACATAAAACATTTTATACTTAAAACTGATATCTTAGTTAATATTTTTAAGCACAAAAAATATAGCACGTATATTTTTCTTGTCATCTGCACGCTTTCTATTATTCACAGGTAGAGAAGGAGTTCCTGAAAAAACACGAAATTTAGCAGGGAAAGTACGAATCGTGGACAAATCCGATTGGTCTACTGATTTCTTTTAAAACGTAAAAGTGATCTTTCATACTTGCCGTTTGTTCTGATACATAAATCACTAGACATCTAGAACTTTTATTCATAATTGAATGTGCTATTAGACACGGAGAATCGTTAACAATTCTGTGTATGTTTCTGCCTAAGATACTTGGGACGTGTCAATTAAAGAAGAGTAAAAACAGATGTTAGTTTAAATACAAAATTTCTCTCACTACTTCCCCAGGTAACTATAATTAATAATATAAGCTTTCTCATTAGGAATAGTTCTATTTGATGATCGTTTATGTAGATGCGTATATTTAGATTAGCTTCTATAATATTATAAAGGTACTATATTTTATTGTTTATTTGTGGGTGTAATTTATACATATATGATCTTTTTGCAATTCCTCTTGTATAAATATAGTCAGATATGATTTAGAAATTGAGATTAATTCCTTCTCCGAATTTGACCTCCCATCCTCACCACTCGGACTAACCACTCGGATCACGAGTGGTTTATCGCGAGTCAGAATGCAAAGTAAAAGAATTATTCTATCTGTATCGTGCTGCTAAAATAGACAGATATACGACGATCTTTTTTAAATATATACATTTATAGCCATCCTGTGCAAGGTGAGCGGAGTCTTACGTTTTCTAGTCTCACATAATATAGATTTCTGTTTTCGGTATAGATATGTATTACTAATTATAATATAAAGATTTCTAAGCTGTCTATAATTGAAAATAAGAATTATAATAATTTACTATAAATCATATTATATACAATTTTTCATCTATTTGATATAACATAAAAATCGCAATGATGTATTTGTTATAAGAATATTTTGTTGTCATATCTAATTTATACCGTAGCTTTATAAATAAATCAGTTTACCTTCAATTTTTCTTTATCGGCATGACGTCGTTTATGTATAGATAATTTCACCTTTGACGAAGTGTTAAAGTTGCACAAATCACATCGAAATGCCATTTCAGATGACTGTTTGTGTTGAGCATTTTGTATCTTATCATCTATTTTGTTTGATACTGCAGCTGATGTTCCATCACACGATTTTGAAGATGATTTCTGACTCTTCTGTTCAGAGGAATGTAAAGACATAAATATGAAAAAAATAATTAATTCTTCTCATAACTTAAGTAAATTTTACACTAAATTTACTTAGTATAACAATGTATTTTTTTAGTATGAACATTTTAAAGCAAATCAGTAAAAGATACGTACAATAACAATATTTTTGTGATTTTAAGAGAATATTGTGAAATGAATAAAAATCAATGCAATCAATATAACTTTTAAATCATTTTCAATATTCAATTATTTTTCTTATAAATATATACACTGTATAAGCTTTACGCTAATTTATTTTTTTTCGTGTTTATTGTTTTTACCCTTATTATTTTTGAATTTAAAAAAAAATTTAACAACTTTTACAAATTATTTTACATGTATATCCATATAGACGTCCTTCGCTATCTATCATATAAGCAAACTAAGCACTTCTCAATTAAGGGGTGCAAAATTTCAAGTTATATTTTATTCACATTTTCTCTATCCTTTCAAAAGAAATATTCGTTTTGTTAGTTATTATAAATTATTACGTTCGCTACTATTTTTTTAGAAATATTTTCTTGATATATAAAAACACAAAAGTAATAATATATATATATTTCGATAAATATTAAAATTTCGAATAACAGGTGTTGCTTAATATAAGTAATGTCTTACAAAACAAATTCAACGCTTCACTTACTTTTTTTGGTTCCATTTAATAATTAAGAATTTAAATTTTAAAATTTAATTTATAAATTTCGCAAAGAAGAAAAATAAAATCAATAATGGACAACAACAATGTAAAATTTGTCAATTGTTCTGTCAAATTCTGCCCATTTTTCAGCTTTAAAAGACAAAAAACGACTTTAATTATTTCTTTGTAATTATAAAAATTTTTACAGGAAAAAATACATTGAAGTTTCCGTTCCAAATTAATTTTATAAATTATTTCAAAACAAAATGTGTTTCAAATTTATACGGACACGAAAAAATTAAAGTAAAACCGAAATTTGCTGCATTATGTGACAAATGTTTTATTAAAAATAACATGGATTTACATGTTTCCACACTGCAAAATAAGAATTTTAATCAAACATTAACATTTTGTCACTGAAAATATTATTTTTGAAAATTTTGTAGAAAAAAACTGTTACATATTTATCCGGACAGGCACTCATTTCATGACTTAAATAGGATATTGTTTTGTTTTAAGTATTAAAATATGCAAATTAGCTTACATATCTCATTGTAATACTTTATAATATTTCAATGTGGTGTGCTTTTAGATTCAATGAAACCACAGATTTAGCATTTATAACTCAAAGAAGGAATTCAGAGAAGTGTCATGCTTCAAAATCATCTTTTGGACGCTGGACCAAATATTTGTGGACCAAATTGGATCCTTCAACAAGACATCGCCCCTGTGCATGCCTCTAAATGAACAAAAATGTGATTTAAACGTAAAAATATTAATCTGATGGCATGGCCTGGTAGAAGCCCTGACCTGAATTCAATGGAAAATTTTTGGCGGATGATGGTTCGTACAGTTTATATCAATGGAAAGCAGTTTTCCACATTTCGTGATTTGAATGCAGCAATTTCAGATGCTTGGGATAAACTTAACATTGAATTTCTTCAGAATCTAATTGAAACAATGCCTAATCATGTATTTAGTCTTAGATGGAGTTTAACACCTGCTTAGGGCTGCACTCCCAAACAACCCGACTTTTGAGAAGTCGAATCCCGAAGCGACGGCGGCAGCTAAAGGCCTTGCACCCGCTCTGGGCCAGAGCCCCGATCAGGGTGACTTGCACCGCAGTTCGCAACGTTCGTGCCTCGGTGGAGCGACACATCCGGGGCGGACAGATATAACACCGGAGATCCCTCCGAGGAGAGGAAAGCCGGCCACCTTCAGCCACCAGCCCTTACGACTGATGCTTAGAATTGACTCCACCGGTCACGGCTTACTACTGGGCGGGAGAAAACGCGTCGGCACGCCGGGAGTCGCGGCGCGGACTCGCCCCGTAAAGGTCCGCCGTATCGCCCGCGCCTCTCCCGTCGGCTAGCGTCCCGACTGAATCCCCCGCCTTTCGACTTTCGAGGGCCACCCGTTTACCTCGAAGCGGTTTCGCGTGCTCTTGACCTCTCTCTTCAAAGTTTTTTTCAACTTTCCCTCACGGTACTTGTTTGCTATCGGTCTTACGGCCGTATTTAGTCTTAGGTGGAGTTTCAAAGTTCCAGCCGTATTTAGTCTTAGGTGGAGTTTACCACCTGCTTAGGGCTGCACTTCCAAACAACCCGACTCTTGAGAGGTCGAATCCCGAAGCGACCGCGGCAGCTAAGGGCCTTGCACCCGCTCTGGGCCAGAGCCCCAGTCAACAGATTCGACCTCTCAAGAGTCGGGTTGTTTGGGAGTGCAGCCCTAAGCAGGTGGTAAACTCCACCTAAGACTAAATACGGCGGTGAGACCGATAGCAAATAAGTACCGTGAGGGCAAGTATTTAATGTAATTAAGTTAAATGGTGGTTACATTGGCCATTAACTTGTAAGGAAACTTTGCAATCTGAAACTTTGTAATTTGATCCAAATAAATATGTAACAGTTTTTTGTACAAAATCTTCAGAAATATTATTTTCAGTGACAAAATGTTAATGCGTGATTAAAATTGTTATTTTGCAGTGTGGAAACATGTAATTCTATGTTATTTTTAATAAAACATTTTTCACTTAATGAAGCAAATTTGGGTTTCACTTTCGTGTCCGTATAAATTTGAAATGCACCTTATATCTAGAATTTAATGACGTAAAATTAAATAGAATTTATTTTACTAAAGTGTCTAACGGAAAACATTGAATGTGCTGTAAATTGCAAAAATCCTCACTGCCGAATGGAAGAATGTAAAAGTGTATGAGCTACAGTGTACTGTATCAAATGCAAAATACAGCTGTGCCTTGGTAAAATAAAAATTGTTTCAAAGCCTATCATATGTAAATACAAAATGTCAAATAATGTACAAAAATAGTCAAATAAACCATTTTTTACATGAACGAAAAGGTTTACATTTTGTACAGGTATGAGATCCATTATGTCATATATGACACATACCATATTTTAATGACCAAAACAAAAAATAACTATTAAAATGACAATTTACAAATAAGTGACACCTAAAGATGAAAAGCATAACAAAACTTTAACAAAAATAGTTTTTTTTTCAGTAGTGGATCTCAAGAGGATAATCAGGCCTTGAATACAGAGTTGTAAAAATTGCTTACATACAGAATTGTATAGAATACAGTCGACCCCCTATAATACTGTTGATTTTTCCGTTTTATATGAATTCCATGTTGTACGAGTCACTTAGATTTTACAAATACGTGAGCCGTTCACAGCCCGGCACACGTATTTGTAAAATCTAAGTGACTCGTACAACATGGAATTCATATAAAACGGAAAAATCAACAGAGTTATAGGGGGGGTCGACTGTACAGTACAATAGTAAAATTACATGTGGTGAAATTGCAGGTATACCAAAAAATTGGTTACGTATAGTAATATACAATGCAACAGTTAAAGAAAAAATACTTGAATGTTTAGAAAAATGTTAAAAGCTTTAACTGCATTATGGTTGTTTCACCGTGTTGAAGTTGGCACTACTTTTAATGATAATGACGATTTAATAACAACTTTCTATAAAATTGTCTAAATTGAACAATTTACATAATCTTTCATGAAAAAACTGGTGAGACAAGGTTGAAATAGAAGAGATTAGCAGTATTATCTAAAGTAAGAAAGCTTTTGTAAATTGAGGCATAAGAATAGTAGAAGCAGAATTTACAGTAAGATTCGACATGTGAATATAATTCACATTTCCTAGACTACAGCTTAATTTTATGCTTCATTCTTCCTACTCTGGTACTGATCACAGATGCTGTAGCGTTCAAAAAAAATTAATGTAGTGTTACGACTTTGAGACACAAAGTACGAGAGGTGTTCAAAAAGTATCGGACCTTTATTTTTCCTGCGTAAACTAATGATGCACGGAAGGTCTCTTTCGGTGGAATTGTAAAGGAAACAGATGTGCACAGTCCTGAATTTTTTCCTGCCTGCAGGAAGCGTCAGTCGCTGGCAGTCGACCTGAGTGAGGACGTGTAGTGAGTGCTCGTCATATTCAACTAAGTTGGAAAATGACTAAACAACGTGAGCAACGATATTGCATCAAATTTTGCCAAAAGCTTGACGATACCCAAGCAGAAACCATTCGCACGATTCAGCAGGCTTTCGTGGACGATCCTCGAGGCCAAAAAAGCGCGTCATGTCGGCAGCAATGTCAAGGTCATGTTGACGGTTTTTTCTACTCCCGTGGGGTGGTGTATTGTGAGTACGCCCACTAAGCCAAACCATCTGAAAAGAGTACTACCAGGATGTTCTTTGTCGTCTTTGTGATGCTATGCGACACAAATGACCGGATCTGTGGTGAACCAAAACTTGGCATCTCCATCATGATAACGTACCCGCCCATTCTGCGAATCTGATTCTGACTTTCGTCACCAAACACAACATTCTTGTGGTTCGTCATGTTGTCCCGACATCGTTCCGTGTGACTTTTGGCTATTTCCCAAGCTGAAAATTCCGCTAAAAGTAATCCGATTTTAGTCAAGAGAAGACATCGTGCGGAATGCGACGGACCAGCTGATGGCCATTCCAAAAGATGCGTTTTAGCAGTGTTTCCAGCAATGGCGGGAGCGCTGGGAAAAGTGTATACATTACCAAGGAGACTATATTGAAGGGGATTAGGGTTTTGTACCTCAAAATCAATAAAGGCTTCGAGCTTTACGAGGAGTGTTCAAAAAGTATCGGACCTTTGGTCGGATACTTTTTGAACACTCCTCGTAAAACTCGAAGCCTTTTTCTGTGACGATGCTTATTTTTCCTATTTATTTTTAAGATGCCCGTTTTCTGCTAAACTTCTTCCCGTTGTACTTTGTGTAATGTGCACTTTGTTTCCATAATGTTTCTCACTATCAAACCTTATTCTTTCAAAATGTTTTCTTTATATAAATATCGTTGCTGAGCTTTATTTTTTCACCTGGTTTTTCCATTTTTTCATCTCATCACAAGCATTTTTCAGTCAGAAGTAAGTATATAATAGAATAGTGTTTATCATAATTTTATGTCCATCTGATAACCATGTGATAACCTGCAGAACACACAGAATAAGTATGAAAAAGTTTGTGCAGATTGAGCAAACAACTATGAATAGAGAAACTCAAACATTTTCTCATTTCTTTACAGGTGTAGACAAAATATCTCGAAATGCGAGGGGTCAAATTCATACGACTCCAATAGTGTTCTTCGTAATATATAAATGACAGCCAAAAAAGAAACATGAAACATTATTTTATAAGTAAGTCTAAAACGATTCAATGACTTTATTCAAAATTAAACACTTCCACAGATCTAATCATATGCACTAAATATCTTAAATTTTTATTTAAATCAGATAATTGGTTTCAGAGATATTAACGGTCAAATCTGGCACTTTAACGGTATATGTGTGGGTGAGTTTCACTGTTTATGATACTTAAATTCTATGATACTTAAATTTTGTTTCGATTACTTAATTAATTTGTGTTTTAACACTATGTGTTGAAGTTATCTTCTAATATGTCTAACAATTTACAAGCCTTATTGGTGCATGGAACTTCTGAAATATTTAAACAAGAAAGCAAGCTTACAGAAATTTGAAATTTTTCCATTTACTTAATTAACAAGCATTTTAAATTTCTGTTTAGATCAATTTGGTGTTAATCTTGCTTTACTTTTTA